ATTTAAATTAAATCGTATTATTTATTGAGGCGGTCAATATATTTTATTTATTAGAAACAAAAGTGCAACAGTGTACGTATACCGTTATTGTAAGCTGACATTGGTCGCGATGTTGGCATCGGTACTCTTATTGGTATCGTGTATTTTATGAGCGTTGTAGAAAATACTCTTTTCTTTCTCTCTTTGCGAGAGAGATTGGATGCACTTACTTATCTCCGTTGATCTTATCGAGGAGCAAAGATCCCTATTAGAAGAAATTGTTCTACGATGATATTTGATTCACCGAATCGGTGTGGTGTGGGTGCGAATTCGGCGGTGCACGCTTAATACTGTTACGCATCCCTTTTTTTTTTATTGAGCATCGTTGTGTATCGTCCATTGTTTCTTTCTTTTATTGTTTGCTGTGTAATGTGTTGTGTACTGGCATGTGTAGTTATTTGGATTGTCTTTTCTCGCAGAATAAGTAGCTAGTATTTAGATTACACCTTTTAATTTAATCCAGCCCCCTCTCCAATCTCTCCATATCCCGTATCGATCCGTTCGTCGATATTGTGCATGCGTACGTTTGTATGTATTGTTTGCTGATATTCTGTATTATATCGTGAAAAAGAGAACTGAAGAGAAGACAAAGGTAGAAAGAGAAGCGAGGCCGGGAGCGAGGGCCTTTTTAGGCCTCAAATAGACATATAGAAATTGTAATCTATCGCGCGTCTCGACATGCAGAGAGTACAAATAATAATAATATTAATAATAATATCGATTATGTTTTTGACGATATAATCTGCGAATAATGCGGCTTTTTCACATTATTAGTTTATATTTTGGCATTTTTGTACATAGCATAGTAACTGTAAAAAATACTGTGATAATATTTATATATTTTTATGAAGACCTATATGAAGACACACACGCACACACACAAATTTCACCTTTGTCTTTGACAATATAGCCCCTGCGATCAAGTGACTCGATTTTCTACTGATAGATTCTCATTGCGCATGATGTTACCGATGTCAAGTTTTGCTCTCGCGAACCAGGTAGGTATCTCTCAAAATTTATAGTTTTCTGAACAAATTGTATTAATTTAAATAATCTTTGCATTAAAATAGCTGTGAAAAAATTTCTATCTCACGCGGGATAATAGGTATATGCTTTCGACTTTCAAGTAAAAAAATTTGAGTGGAAATATATTAAAGTTCTCACAAAAATATATAAAAAAGTGTAGAAGAATATTTTTCACGATATATACGTAAATCTTTCGGATAATTATATGTAAAACTTTTAGATAATTATCGATAATTTGTTGAAAATGCTGTCATTATCGTAAAATAATTCGGCAGATGTGTTCGTTAAATCGGTATAAACTTGTTCCGATCTTTGTCGAAACGCTTCGTTGAATCCTTCTCGCGGTAAAAGATTCTGAAGCACGAGCATTGGTAAACGGAGATGTTACAATCTTATATTTCGCGTTTCGGCCACGGGCCCGACATATGCCTATTTTTGACAATCTGGTTCGGGATATATTTAGAGGTCCAGAAACATTCCGCGGTATGTTAGGGATTCCTTTATTTCTAACGGTGCGTTAGAATCACCATGTAAGTTATATCGAGAGTCCAATTATATATTATTGCATATTCTGGAAAATAATGTCATTTGATGCTCGAAGATAAAAGACGCGCGCGCGCGCGGACGGAAGCGCAAAGTAGGCAAGGTAGGTTTGCGTTTCAATCGAAATAATATACTCGATATATTTTTAACAGAGGCATTCGGCCATCGCTTAATGTATTTTTTTTTTACCAATTAACTAACAATAACAATACATGTGCACGAACATAGACAAGCGTCGATCTTTGATCGCCTAACATGATTTCGATTAGCGAAACATGTCGATGACATTCGCGTGGCGATTGAAATAAAATGTCAAGAAGAATCGAAATCATTTAAAGAAAGCCGTCGAAATACTGTGAATAGCAGACGCGTTACATCGCATTACGCAATGGATGCAGGTAATTTTTATCGCACGTTTTTTTCTGTAGCATATAGAAACGAGCGTTAATAGTAAGTAACAATTAATGCAGATTACGAAATATTGTATCTTAAAATACAAAATAATGATGCGCCTGAATGTCTCCATGATTTCATTTTATGTTAATCGACGTGACGTTCTCTTATCTTTATCCAACTGTTCCGTTTGTATACGATTTTTGAAAATAAAGTTCAACAACGAGCGCCCGATGCCCGCTTAAAGGAAGCGGAAGTAGAAGTTAAAGGGTAAGAAACGCACGTCATCAAAATGGCATATACGACATGCAGCTTATGAAGATCCTCGGTCTTCTTCGACGTACCGAATGCCCCGCCATGAGATTGTTCTCCATTTTGTTTTTCAAAGAAAAAAAGGACTTTTGCAAACGTCTATTTTACAAATTGCCAGAAATTAGTATTTATCGCGATACTTTTTGTAATAAATTTTTCACGGGCTTTTCCGGTGATTCTTCGTTTATTTCATCAACTGCGAGGATGCACCCTATTCGCCGATGGCGCTCGCGTACCGGAGATATGCCTGGTACCAGTGGTACCGGAAATGCGCATGGAGTTTTCGATATCCCGAGGGCAATAGATACCGTGGGGTCAAAGCACGGTTTATGATTTGCCCGCGAATACCGTCATTCGTTCGTTCGTTTGTTCGTTCGCCGGGGTTGCAGACGAAGAAGACGCTCATCCAGGTGTATCGCCTCTCGCGAGCGGGCAGAAGAGAGAGGGCAAAAGCGAGGGAGGGAGAGAAAGAGAGAGGAATAGAGAACGGGGCCTCGAGATGCCTCCGCGAGGGAGACTGAAAGAGAGAGAGAGAGAGAGAGAGAGACCTCACGCACGTACGCACGTACGCACGCACGAAAGGTGGAAGCGGAGTTCCATATACGGTCACCTTTGTCAAAGCCCGGTTGTCGCCATATACAGGCAATGTTCGCGATGGCAGACACTTATATAGAGCCCGAGTTAAGAGTCAGGAATGTTGCTTTTTGTCGCGCCTTCTCTACACATACACGCACACACCCTCCTGCCTGTTCCGCGGTAAATGGCGGGGTAGGAAAAGCGGTGTGAGAAACGGCGCGGAAGCGAGAGAACGCGGCCGCGGCCGCGTGCGTTCGTCGCCGCCACGGCTTTTGCGAGCTTTCCAATTGCTACCGCACTTTCCCGCGGACGATTCGACGAGCATGCGACTCGCACACGCGCGCATTCCAGCCATCGCTGCATCGGAGGACGGTGATCGGCGCAAATTGCAAGACGGAAAACGTGTGTTCTCGTTTAACTCGACAGATCCTTAACAATAGAGTATACGTACAATATAACTGAGGAAATTCAGGAAATTAATTTTCTGCGGTCCAATCTGTACACAACTATATGTATGCTATGTGACTGAAAGTGTCGTTGGAGGCGAGGAGAATAAAGGCGTTTAATTTCTTACGATGAAAAGGAGCGAAGAGGTCTTGCGTTTTGACTTTTATTGCAAAAGAGAAGAATCGATCGGCTATAATACTTGCGAGTAAAACTGTAACAGTAAAGTGCATTGTTTAGGGTTTCTCTCACATCTAATACGTCAGTCATATATAGCTATTTCGATTTTCACGAAAGAAAGATAAATAAATCATGGTTGTCAGCATTTAACCGAATGGCAAACCGAAATCTCACTGTATTTACTCGAAGGAATGAGAAACGTGCGGCGAGAAGCGCTCGCATGCACTCGTACTTTTCCGCTTGTCGGCGCCGCGCGAGCTGACTCTGTTCTCCACACGCGAAGCGAGATCAGAGAGGAAACGTCGGGGGCGGGAAAGTCTCGTGTGCGAGAAGCGCTCCCCCGACCCCGAGGGGTCGCGAGCGAATTCGCGAAGAGGATACCTCTTTTCCGCGGGTGCATCGCGCGCACTCGCGCGAGTGGAGTCCGCGAGAGATGGCCATATAAGGAGCGCGGACAAGATGTTCGCGCATCTCTCTCTGCGTCCGCTAGGTAGGTAGGTAGGTAGGTAGGTTGGTAGGTAGGTAGGTAGGTAGGTAGATAGGTAGAGGTATATACGCACGTTTGTACGTATACGTATATACGTAACGTTCGGTAGCGTATCCACGTTTTCTCGCTCGCGCGTCGCTGTTTGTTGTCATTCGCACCAAGATCCCCCTCTCGCGAGAATAGGTACCCCCTCGCGTGATCCACCCGCTCCGATCCCGCCCTCGCTTCGTCGACAACGATCCGCGGATTCGAGTCGGACCCTCGATAATGCCGCTTTTCTCGGTTTCAGGAGGAGGGCGCGTCGCCGAGGTCCGACGTCTGCGCCAACGAGAGCGACGCCGAGAGCAGCGACGGCGACTCTCCCGTCGTCCCTAAGGATCCTCTCAAGAACAATCACTCGGGTGAGTCTCGCGCGCGGCCGCCGTAGGATCGCCGCTGGGGGACGGCTGTGCTTGGATCAGAATTCGTAAAGTCTGGGCTTCTCGTCCTTCCCTCTGACAATGAGAGTCTTGGTACGCGAGGAATATTGTACGCTTTCTCAAAAATTAAGATACGGCTAGTATCATATAGCATTCGTCGCGAAGGTCGCGAATACGAGAGCAAGAACTGTTTTTAATTGTCATTGTACATAAACGAGCGAACAGGATCAGGTACGAAATGCATCTAGTATGAAAGAGAAATGTTCAGGATTCACGCACAGGAAGTTGAAGTCTCGATGAAGATAAACGGATGTATACGTAGTCTGCTTTAATTCCGTCGTGTGTTTCTCTTGGATCTTGGACGTTATTTCCTACGCGTTTGTATTGAAATTATGAAAAATCATGCATTTTTTTCATTTATATGACTAAGCGCTATAGAATCAATGTACAGCTTCTCTATCGCGATATTTTTGTTGAAAATGATGAAAATTATAGCGTCCTCGGAAATGTAATATGCGGAAAGGAAACGTAGGTCGGATAAAAATGGCACCCTCGCATTTGATTCGATCTCGTTGTGTCGTGCACTTGCAGAGTCAACAAGGTTCGCGGAGAAGTTTTCTCCGCAAGAGAAACGGAGCACTTTTGAATACCGTATCATTTGCCACCGCGCGGGCATCATTAGCCGCCCGAGTTTGCGCAAGGTTCATTTAGATTAAGTTCTGCGGTTACGTCGATTTTCTGTCATTCACGGCCGCGCGATTATTCACGATATACCTTTCGCTGCTCCACATGGCGAGGCAGGCCTCCCACGTAATCCATTTTTTAACTAATTTTCATGCAACGCGCGTTTTGCAAATCCGTATTACGTTGGAAGTCGCGCGAGACGTATTATGTTTTATATAAACGTAAACTGGGGCCGCGCGTGGGGTAAATTTTTCGTAGCGCGATGCCGCACGTTATCCCGATCTTTTCTCTTTGCGCCGAAAAGAGACGCGTTTCCGCATTCGAATTATCAAGATCGCGATTAAGGACGATCCGAGATCGAGCGTGTCGGCACTCGGCGGTCGCCCTCCTTCGCGCCGTTTGTATGCTAATCGCATCTAATTGTCGCCGATACCATTCGCGTCGCGCTTGACCTCAACGCGCGTTGATAGCGAACAGCTGGTCGGTCGGACGGAGGTGAGCGAGCGCGGGCGGGGTAAACATAAGCGAGTGTACGCACACACTCGGTGCGCGGAGGAGGAGGAGGAGGAGGAGACGGCGAAAGAGGGAGCGAAGCGTGAGAAAAGGTGGGAGGGAGGTGGCTGTGGAGGGAGAGAGGACGTTTAAAATGCGAAAGGCGTGCGAGCGATGACGGCGTTATCCGTGTAGGGAGTACGCAAGCAGTCGCGCGCGGCACGGCGATGACCAAACTTAGACGGCAACCGTGCTGCCTAACTGGGAAGTAGGATCCGGTCGAAAGCCGCTCCGTCCGCGTCGCGCCGCGCCGCGCCGCGCTCCGCAAAGAGCGCGCGCGAGCGTGCGCAGGTGTACACATAAATATCGATGCTAATGCGTCGCGTGGATGCCATTCTACCGTCCTGCTTAACCGATCGCCGCGTCGCGATCGCGCTTTTTTTTTTCTTCACCCCTCTCGCGACTCGGCCGACCGGTCGCGGCCGTCGCTCCCGTCGGCGTCGGCCACGCGAATTCGACGGTAGCCGGCCCGTCGACTTTTATTTTATATACCTTATTTTATATACGAGAGGCCGACGAATGCGTAATATATCTCTGGCGGTATAACGAAGGCGCGTGCGAGAGATCTCATCGTTATCGGGCGAATGGACGGATGTGTATCGCGCCAGGCCACCTTTAATTAGGCGCGCGTTCGTTCGGTTGGATGGTTTTGGAATATGTAGAAAGCGCACGCGGGAAGACGTTTTTTCCAGGCAAAAACATATATACCTCTACATAGAGTTGTTCTTGAGAGAGTTTTTGAATATTAAGTACAGACGCCTTTCGTACCGAGTTAGCGAGCACTAATGTATAATAGTTTTGCGAATACTATATCTAACAGATTCGTAATCTGACAATGAGTACATAAGGAAAAATTTGGGGGATAATATATTAGCAAGTAACGTTACTTATTTCCAAGTACAGAATACGCTTAAAGAGGAATGTTTGCCATTAATACGAACTAACGCCTATATCTTATCGTTACCAAGAGTTCTATTCGCGTCTTTTGATTGACAAACTGTTGAGCGTTAAATATGAAATAACTATTGGAAACGTTGAATGCAATAGATTGTAAATTTAAGATATGCTATATTTTCAACAACTTTACGACACTATATTTTACGAATATCCACATCAATTTGAAAAGATTGCTAATCTTACTCCCGATAAACGATCTCGTAGATCGCGCGCCCGACTGTTATTTTTTTAAATTATTTTCTTTTGTTAATGATTGAAAGTTTATCGTATATCGCTAAGAAACACGCATACACCAAATGTAATAATTCATGGAGATATGGTGAATCAGAGCGCAGATTCGCACTTGGGTGGTCCGGTTTCAAGTCTCGACTCGGCCCCGCCATTCCTAAGTTTTTCTCAACGATATACATCTGTACCGAGGGAGAGAAAACAAGTTTAACTTTAACGTCGGACGATGCATTTCACAATTTCGATACAAATAAGGGATATACGCGGAGCCTCTCTCTGTATTTTACGTCATTGGTATCTCACGTCCATTCTCGGATATAAGGTACGTTTCGCTCGTAGATTCTCCGCTCAGAAAAACGGAGTAAATTCGTCACGTAATTCATGGATGTCTCGCGGGGGAAAGGGAGAGTATATAAAATATATAAAATATTTTAAAATATACTTATATCCAAACCGCGGACTTTGATGTCAGGTGTACGCTCGCACGTGCGTACCTCCCGCAGGGCGTTTTCTCGCGGGAAATATCGCGCCGATCGCGTCCAGCGGCTTACAACCACTCAAACGCTCAATTCCTCTTTGATTTCCTAGGAAATGTGCCTTCGTTCTCTGCAGGGATTATGTACCAGGTGCCTCAGAGTGTCATTTATTCGCCCAGTCCAGGGGTCTTGCTCGGCATAGGACAAAACGGGCAACCGGTGCAAATATCTCAAGACGGAGGTAGGTTTTCTTTCGCGCTGCCGCAGAGGAACGCGAGTCGCGGGGGTTTACGCAATGTCGCGCGCGGTATACGCATTTCGAAATGCCCTTACGCGCGAGAGGCGAGGGTACTCGGGCACGATTCGCGAGAGGAATATCGGTTCTTATGTATGTCGGAGGCTACGGCGGACTCGCGGAAACCGCTCTCTGAGCTTCGTCTGAATCACCGACGTTAACATCGGGTGACAATTGCCTACCGGACGCGCGAGATTATGACTAATAAATTAACACATAACGAGAGCTGCTCGTTGCAGCCGATGGCATGAAAATAAATAATGCGTTTCGATGATAAATGCGCGCGCGCGCATTTATCATCGAGACGATGCAGGAATAATAAAGGGGTGGAAACGCGCGCGCACCCGAGAGATGGATGGCAACGGTAAATGACGAATCAAGGAATGTGGTTAAACGGTCCGACCTTTTTGCCAAACACCAATTTCATCGTATACTTACGGTTTTTCGTTGTAATTAATCATTTTTAATTTCATAGTGATGCACTTTAACTTTTCGCGAAAATGCCCCATGTGTAACACTTCCCATCAGACGTTGCAGTAGAGCCAAGCCTCGGTCGATTTATGAACAAGAATTTGTCATTCAATACTGAGCCATTGTTGGCAAATAATCGGATTCTTTACTTCTATGAGTATTACAATACGGCGTGCGGTGATGGGCCATTCCAGATCTTTGGCCTTTTTACGTAAAATTAATCTATGTATTACCTAATATTCTTAATTTGTTCGTGAGTCATTATTTGTCATTTTTGGGTCCAATTTATCATCTGATTATATAATCCAACGCTGGATTAGACCCAGTGTATTGATTGCCAATACTGGGTCAATATTGAAAATATGGTTAGGATTATAGCCAATAATGACCCAATCGTATAAAATTATTTGCGATTGCATCGAGGTTTCAATTTCCAAGTTTATTGCAATTACGCGTACGTGGAAACTGTATTAATCAGAAGTAAAGTAATTTAAAAAAGAGGGATATCGTATAAATATAATTTATCGATCACTTTGATTTTACGCGATGCGCGAGTAAAGAACGAGCAGTTTTTCCAAAGACATGTTCGTGGACGGATCGAAAGTGGAAAAAAACAATCGCGGGGCCGCAAAGAAGGAAAGATCGAGCAGGAAATGTAGCGTCGTTGCTTCTTTCTCCCCGTGACGGTGCGTCTGATTTGATTTTCCTTTGCGGCTTCCTTATAGGTACAGTAGCACCGGTAGCGAACTCGTCGCAATCGAACCAGCCGTTCATCACGATACCTCTGAGCGTCGCGATGAGCGCGGCGGGATTGTCTTTACCGGTGACCTCCAGGATGACCTCCAGGTCGCCGACGACGACGTTGACGACGACGACGGCGGCGGCAGCGGCGGCGATGTCCAGCTGCGGCGACTTGCCTTCCGACCTGAGCAAAGATCGGAAATGACGGCGAAATTTTGCGACGAGCGGAGTCTCCGACGACGACGACGAAAGTGGCAGTTAAGCCTCCGCTTTCTCGCTCGCCACGGACGGAAATTCGTCGTGCGAATTTGTCGGACGAGTCGCGGAAGCGGATTCTCGCGCGGATATCTCCGGACTTGTGATACTTCCATGTCCGGGATAACAGCGGGGCGAGTGATCCAGGTTTTTTTTCGAGCGGATTATACGAGCGACTATGACCCCATCGTAATGTGGGATTCTTCGCCCCCCTTCGTGCTCTCGTTCTCGGGAATGAATGTTTACGTGCTTTTGTACGAGATAAACTAGACGAACCTAGGACCTGCTAGTAATCATTCACTTTTCGGTTGATAGAGAACATAGACATGAACGTGAAATTAAATTAATAATGGAACGAGAATACGGTTTCTAAAGATGGGGCGATCGAACAATAAACTTCTTATCCTAAACAAATATCCTATTTACGGAATACGATGATTGTAGATTGATCAAAGATTTTTATTTGAATGATGAACTGGATATCTTAAAGTATAAGCCATTGCGTGATAAACTCGTCAATTGTGACTGTTCGATATTTTTAAACGTTAGTAAAACTTTAATAATAAAACTCTAAAACACTGTTTTGCCTAGAAAATAAAAAACGACCGAGATTTCACCTTTTCTCGATTCATATTATTTCATATCTTATTTCGTAAACTTTTAAATTTTATTCTTTGAGATTTCTGCAGGGTTTTTTTACACGACGTTCTACCTTTTGTACCTTCCTAAATATATACGGCATAAATCTTGTTTAATTAATTATTAAAAAAACAAGATTAAAAATATACATCCTTCTAAAAATCTGCATAACTTCAGCGTTAGATGCCCGAGTCGCATATATATCTGGCGAGTATCCAGATACGTATAGCAAATGGACAGTTCGGTCAATACGCGTATTCGGATATTCTCGTCGATAGTACCGCGGAATAGACTTGAGAACTTCTCTCCTCGTGTGCGATATATATATATATAAAAAGATACATTACATATATCGATGATATTCCGCCACCCTCGTGTGCTTACTATCGTAATATGCCTAATCTGAATCGTATTATAAATACCCGAATAAATCGGAACAAAAAATAAACTCTAGACGGACCTCAGTAGCGTATTCCGAGAATACTCACTGCCAATTATGAGACTGACATCGCATACGAATGCAATACGTATCCCGTTTAGGCAGTCGCGTGGAGCGTTTGATTTTGATTATATCGAACGATCATTTTGTCGAATTATTTCAAATTATTTTTATGAGAGTTGATTTATTCATGCATCCGATTCGATTTTATTAAAAAAGCGTGGCACATGATTATCAAAAATAAATTACACATGATCAGATTTTTATACCACGTTTTTTAATGCTCTTTATAATAAATAAATAAATGGAAACAGATGATGCTTCTTCGATACTTCATTGTGGGTGTCTCTATGAACTTCTGCATTCTGAAAATAAATTCACTTTGTAATTATCGCGGCATTGTTACTTATCAGTATAATATAATAATTAATAATCTGAAATACCAAAATACTAATTATTTATTTTTCGTTGCAAAACCTGGAAAATTGTACATTCTCAATCGTACATTCACATCTTGCAATGAGCAGAGAGAACTACCGACGTGGAGAAGCCAGCAGTTCTTCTTTAATTTGTAATCCTTGAATTATCGACTTGGACATCAGTTTCGCCCACGTATTGCACACCGTTGACGATGCGCATCAGCTTTTTTTGCGACTGTTGAAGCGTTAAACTCAAGCGAGAGTGTATACCGAAGTATATTTGAGTAAAAATATAGCTCACGCTAGAATTTCTTTTAGATCCAGTGTATTGTATTGTTCATTCTCATATAGGAAATATTCTCCGATATTATATTAGGCGTTCAAAAATTAATTTTAAAGAAATATATTTATAATTGCCGATAGAACTAGCCTAAAGAGATCAGCGTTTCCGAAACGTTCTATATACTCTTGATAAAACATTTCGGATAATTTGCATTCTCCGTTTACCCGTAGGAAAAGTTCGATGCATTAAAAAACAAAGTTCTCCAAAGCGAGTATATTATGTATATTTTTTGACGTGAATATTCGCGCGTATGAACTTTTAACTGCGTGTATGAACTTTCTTATTGATAGACATCAACGTTTCTCATTCTGATAGACGAGTATCACCCGTGTGTCGCGATTTTTACGTAGAAACGATAAACTTCGTCGTTGTATCGCGATATTTTGCCAACGGCGCAGGTGCGCGACGCGGTGCGGTAAAAAGGAGCACGCGTACGAGATAAACAACATTTATGAAATAATGGACGACGACTTTCCCCCGAGTTTTTATCGGGCCACCGTTCGAACGATATCATCTCGCCAAAATGTATGTTAACGATGTTATCGAGGATATTGCGGATCCGAGTATTCTGTCAATTTACCGCCAATACATATATGTATATGTATAAACCCTGTTGTCTATAGATTTACAAAATATGCGTGCGATTTGCACCAATATTTTTATAAATATTGGTACTCTTAAATTAGCGTAAAAAATGCGATAAGAAGTGTCTAACTAAGGAGAATCTTACAAAATTGATATTGCGTGCACACAAAAGCGAAAAAATTATGAAATTATTTTTATTTTATTGTAACTAATCGTATATTGGATCGTAAATATCAGCTTTCATTTCGTTTATCAAATTTACAAATATGATTAGTCCATTCTTGCGCGCATCTCCATTCGATCGACTTCATCTTGATGTTTCCACATCAAAAGCCCGTAATTCGTAATACCGTGCCGCTATTATTAGCTTAATTTTTATTTGGAATCGACTAGGACTCGACGATTCGAGCACTTGTGCAGAGATAAAGCTGTTAATGACAAAATCATACCCCGAAATAGTGAATGTAAACGTATATCTTCCATTTAGCGTTTTAGCCTGTTGTACGGTATAGGCATGGAAGGAATCATTTAATTATACATGACAGAATCTATTTAACAGATTTTATCATGATATGTTAAAAGTGTGCGAAAAACCTGCAATTCTCGGCGAATCCATTGACGACGATTCGATTCATCTTCGGATCGGAAGCAAATCTTTACGAAGACAGTTACATATCTCGTAAACGTCATAAGCGACACTCAAATCAATGAGATTTGAACAGCGATTAATCCGATTTGCAAAGATGAAAAACGACATGTGCGGTTTGTTGTTATGAAATATTGCAATTCATGGATCTGTATAAAATATAGCACGACGAAAACTCGAGATACTAAACGCAAATAAATGTAGTGCGAGGATCACCTGTGATCAGAATGCTGTAAACGGCGATCATTATGTTGTAAGTGCTCCATATAGTTGCGACGTAGTCTTGAATTTGCAAATCGTGAACTCTTTGACAGGAGATTTGTTGCGATTAGCGGATGTATACTAAAATGTGCAATATTGAGAACTTCCAAGTTGGAGGGCAATTGTTATTGTTTTAGTAGATTTTAGCGTAACTCATTATGCGTTGTACGAACAGACACGTATGGCAGTGTGGATAAAACAAAACAAAGTAATGAAGTACGATATTGTTGAGGGAAATTTGAATCTTTTTAAGTGAAAAGATGAGAGACAGTTTAAATAATAATAATTATTGTACAATATATTATTACCGCCTAAAATTTATAATAATTATCATTTAAACTGCATTTATCTCTTTTATTAATTCAGTAACGATAAATCGTAAACTTTTTGAGAAAAGCCTGTACTTAAGTTCCTCCTTGCGATACGCGGACTGTAAGATAATGAAAGACTCTTTTACTTTATTTACGCTACTCGCTTATCCATTTGTAATGGATATTTCGCGCCCGCAGTTTTACGTGTGCGCTTTCAACGTGGTTGATTCTCTCTTGTTTTAATTAATATTCCGTAAGTTGTACGAAACGTTTGCCTTATTTAATCGAAAACGCTTGTGTTGAAATCTGTAATTTTGCAATGATGTACGTTAAACCTTCGCGATTTAGCTTATTCTTTCGATTAATCGGAGATAAGAAAAGAGCTCCATAAGAAATTCTCTGAGACAGAAAAAAAGCTTCGTTATTCAATGTTTGGCGAATTGCTGAAATTGTCGTTTAACGGTGTCTGCGACTTGATCGAACGACATGCATATGTATATATGATCGTGAGTCTAAATCAGCTTTTTCGGGACACTGTGTACAAAAGATATACGAATTGCGAACGCGAGCGAAGAATCCCATGGGAGATGAGCAATAACGTGTATATTACGTTTTACTTTACCTATTTTATATATAAATATTATATATGTGGGGCATTCCATGCCAAATCGACTAGGGTCAAACGTCAAACTCTGGTCGATTTGGCATGGAATGCCTCATATATAGATAGAGATATATATGTATACACTATAACTTTTTTATTACTTCTGTACTGAAATACTGCAGCGTGAAGAGTGTTTGTAACAGGATGCCGTAACGAATGAAAAGAAAAAACGTATAAACTCCACATGTCACCGTTTTCTTTCTCTCTCTTTACACTAATTCTAGATAATAATCTTGTTAATTATGTGCTGTTATTCCCGGAAACGGTCATCTCATTTTTTGTACAAATAGTTACCTGGGGTGATTTTTTACACCCCAATTAAAAATCATTGTTATTATTGTAATTACATATGGCATATTTTTCATTAATCTATAATTTAAATTTTATAACTTATTATATATGTATATATTTACTCAATATTTTCTGAAAAAAGTAAGATGTTAAAAAATATTTTAAAAACGGAAGCATATTAAAATTACTGCGACGTGAGCTTTATTTTTTCGACACTTGAATGTGAAATAAATCACCCCGTTCCCGGGTTAAAGTTTCTGTGAAGAAGAAGAAAGCAAACAAATAAACAAACAAATATACAAATTATTAGATTCAATATTTGAGATCTTGGCCAACTGCTTTGTTTTTCTACAGATCGAAGAAAAAAATGTTTAAAATTAAAAACAGAGTTTCCAGCTGTTAAAAAATTATGGCGTACAACTTCACTTTGAAAAGTGAGAAAGTTATATTAGTTTTTTTAAAACAATTAGTTATTAAAATAAATATTCGATCTCTGAAATCATCTTATTAAAATTGAATTTAACTCGTTGAGTTTTTGATGATAACACCGATCAACCTTGTTCAATAAAATAAGCATGAAGATTGCTGAACATCTCGCAGAATATATTATACTGCGGGAAAATAATTCAATTGTTAATTCTCAATCTTATATCAAAATTATCTGTTAAAATTACTCGATTAATATTCGATCTTTGAAATCGTCTGTTTATTAAGATTGAATTTAACTAGTTAAGCTTCGAAAGATCTGCGTTTTGAGAGATATCTCGCGTTCGAAGAGATTATATCGCATTTATCTGATATCTTTGATATCGCGGCGATATGACGTTCAGGACAAGCAACTCATCAAGAACCGTCAACTACTCTCCACGTCTCCACGACGAGCTACAATTTGTTAATGGAACATGTCCCGAATATCGTCGCATCGTCGCATTTCCATTTTTTCATCGACGAACGGCCCGCCTCGATCGATGGTCCGGGCGGATTCCAAAAATTGCTCCCCCTGCCCTTTGCATTACCCATTTGTACCGCGGAAAGTCGCGTGCGGTGATTGGCCAGCCTGGGTCGCGAACGCAGTAATGTGCCGTCATGGCGACGCTGCCGCCGCGGAAAAATCCGACTCCCACAAAAATTTCGAAGCAGCACTTGACGCCGTTGCAAACGCTTCTGCAGCTGGGCTTCCCGAAACACCGGGCGTACGTATATGGCCCCCGCGAGAACGCGCGGGCTCGTGTTTACGTGTACCGCACACGTGGCGCGTCGTCCCGCGTAAACTCGCGTCGCCTGCGGCCAGTGCGGCCTGCCCCACTGTAAACAAACAGCTGTCAAACGTGGCCTTGGCCAGTGCTATTTCGCGCGACTTAATTCTCCGATCGAGTCAATTTTGTCCCAAAATTCACGCTTAGACGAGACAGATTACACGTAAACAAGTAGATCTTTGCGTTACCCGAAGTTTTTGCCGTTGCTGAGATATTAGGCAGTTCCGATGCTGACGGATGCTTATTTGACGTATATTTCTTAGGAAAATGTTACAATGATTTATATTTTTGTATTCAGCGTCGTTTATGAAATCATGTATTTTCAGGGAAAAGGCGTTAGCGGCAACGGGACACCGCGGCGTGCAATTAGCGTCAGACTGGTTGCTGGCTCACGTAAGAGATTCAACTCTGGACTCTGATACGCAACGGCAGTATGTTCTGTACGCTTGTCCGACCGGGCCATTAGCCGAGCAGCTCGAGCTGTTTTGGTCGGAGAGTAAAGACCTAGGATGGAATGGTGCTCACAACTTTATACCGCATATTACCCTCGTCTCCTTCTTTAACGTAAGATATCTAATTTATTGCATATTTGGTAATATATAAAATATTTGTGTCTTGGACGACTTAAAATTTATGAATTATGCATTGTCAAACATTTTTGTAGGCTCCCGATGAGTTCACAAAAGAATTAGCGAACGCTCTTGAGAGTGTGGTTCATCAGGATGGATTACACGAACATATCGAGCTGGAGACATACGTGTCGCCTAATTTCATGGGCCTCTTCGTCAAGGACGTGAATGCGGAGTGGCTGAAGAACGTTGCTCTTCGCTACGTCAATAAAATTGCCGCTCTAGGTATCACTGCCGAACCGCAAGTAAAATCTCTGCACCTTACGCTGGCTTACCAATTCCCCGGCAATATGTTTCCACCGCTCCGCTCGATGGTCGAGAAGCTAGGACCAAACACCCCGGCCAATTGGGAACTCAGATTATACTCGAGAGACTCGAGATTGCAGAATTTGCACGTACACAAAGTGACGCACGCTCACGTGCCACGGGAACACGACGAGTTAGAGTTAAGAGTAGGCGATTACATTTACGTTCCAGAAGGAGCGTGTAACGCGTCCACGGACGGTTGGGTGGAAGGTATCTCTTGGTTGACCGGTATTTCGGGTCATTTGCCGTTGAATCATACCAAGAGGACTGCGGAATCGGACTCGTGGACGTTGCATGCCACTGTGCCGATCACCGACATTAAATGCGAGAGCGCGGAAGAGGAGGAGATACCGAAGATCAGGAGACCACCGCCAGTTTTGTCTCCAAGCGAGTCCACCGACGCGCCCGATGGGATTCCCACCGCGGAGGAGCCGGTAATTATTTTTGGAAAGAATATATCTCGCAGAAACACCCCACAGGCAGATTTGTGTAATCTGTTGCGCTTTCGAGCAGATGGCAGCGTCGGAAGCGCCCGAGACCCCGTCTAGAGAGATCTTCATATGCCGACACGGCGAGAGGGTGGACTTCACCTTCGGCGCGTGGATCCCGTATTGCTTCGAGTCGAACGGTTGTTACGTGCGCCGTGACTTGAACATGCCCAAAGAAGTACCATCCAGGAATATCCAGGACTTCCAAAACGATAGCCCGCTGACGACTGTAGGCGAGATGCAGGCGAGTTTGGTAGGCGAAGCCATGAAATCGTCTAGTATTAAGATAGACGTAGCCTTCACGTCACCGTCGTTACGTTGCGTTCAAACGCTAGCCCATATCCTAAAGGGACTCGAGTCCGATATTCCGATCAAAGTAGAGCCAGGCCTGATAGAGTGGTTGGCATGGTATCCGAACGGCATACCCGTTTGGATGACCTCCGAAGAGTTGATAAAGGCGGGTTTTAACGTCGACACCGATTACGATCCGATCGTGAAGGCTAAAGAACTCCCACTGAAAGAGAACGCGACACAGTATTACGAACGCAGTTACGAGCTGATCAAGAAGATCATAGAAAGCACAGTTGGTAATATTTTGATAGTAGCGCATGCCGCTTCCTTGGCTGCGTGCACCAGACAGTTGACCGGTGGTAGAATACCCCCGGCGGCTGAAGTCACTAGATTAGTTCAAAGAGTACCTTATCTGGCGTGCTTGACGGCGCGTCAAGATATTGACGGCTGGCAGCTCCATCCTCCTCCCTTCCCACCGATCACCCATACCAGTAATAGCAGATTCGATTGGAAAGTTCTAATGTAATAACGTTAATGAGCACGAGCTTTTGTTGAGGAAGGCACTTTACAAAGCCTATATAAATATAAAAGACTGTTATAATACAATGAATTTTTATGCAGGGCTTTATCTAATATCGATGATATTTGGAAACGATATCCAACGAATTAAGATAAAAGTTTTTTTCGGAAAGGATGTATTATTGGTATACGATAATATTGATCAATACGATAAAACCTAACCGATTGCACGACACAATTGAACAATATTTGCTTCCTCGGATTATGATTAATACGGGTATTGAGGTATAGTTTATTTTTTAATTACGGATATAGAACAAATACTAGCCAATATGTTGTTATTGATATCGTGCTGTACCAATCTGGTGAAATATGTAATATATAAGGGGCATACTAGTCTTGATTGAACGCATTTTCTTGCCGAGTTCTTGGACGAAGCATTAAACAAAGAATTTAAAAAAAATATGATATTTATATATAGTATTTTAAAGTAATATACTATTTTCTGATTTTAGTATTCATATCTCTGTCACATACACACACACTATTTTTTCTCTTTAACATATTATGAAATTATATATCAAAGTAGAAGTGTACAGGGAAATCAATGAGGTGCTCTTACGCACATTATTCATGGTCTCTGTAGAAAAATGTTCCATGCGAGCTTTACCATTCCTTGGGAATTTTAGGCTTATGACGTGTGTCAATTAAGTATGACGTTTCAACTTAATGATATCTACGTTGCATCGTAATAAAGTGATGCACAGGATGAGGATATATTTATAGTATCGTTATCGATGTTACCTTTTACAGAAAGAATAACGTTTATATGTATATATTTAGGTATACAACATCGTTTCAGAAATGTGTCTAATATTGTTTCGCTTTTAAAATAGATTGAACATTCGTTTGTCTAATCGTGGGTAAGAAACGTAAGACATATTTTTACGTATATGTATATACATATATATATGTATGTATATATGTATAAAATTCGTGTAGACAGTATTTTATTAAATATATATTTCTAATTGTATTAAATGTTCTTCTCTCCTTATGAGCGTGCACGTGCACCGCGGTACAAATTTATATTGAAATATATATATATATCTATATCATATACAATTTCTGATGATGTACAAATGCATTATACTATATACAAAACGAGTTATCAAAATATAAGAAGAGTTAAAAGACAACGTTTGTTCTTCTTACAATTGTTCCATTATTTGGCTAAACGTGGCCGCCTTCTTTCAATTTGACTATCAGGGTGTCCACGTCCGGTAATATAGCACCGGCCTGCCTAACTGGCGGATCTTCTACTGAGAGTATCTCAATTCTCGGTGCCGTATCTATTCCAAGATCCTTCGGAGTAATCTTCTTAATTGGTTTCTTCTTAGCCTTCATAATATTCGGCAAAGTCGCGTAACGCGGTTCATTTAGGCGAAGATCGGCGCTCAGGACCGCAGGGATTTTCATCTTGACGACTTCTAATCCACCGTCAATCTCGCGCGTAATAGTCAATTCGCCGTTATTATTTTCGATCTGGATAAAAGAGAAGATTGAGAAATAATCGTGTGCAATGTAACAAAATCAAGTTTTGTCTTCTTACCTTGCTGCAGAAAGTGCCGGACGGCCAATCCAGGACGCCAGCGGTCATTTGTGCGGTTTGATTGTTATCATCGTCTATGGCCTGTTTCCCAAGTATCACCAAATCCACTTTCTCATCCTGTGCCAGTTTGGCCAGTATCTTGGAGACGTGAATGGGCTGCAACGTCTGATATTCGGGACCAGATACTTCTACGTGAATCCCACGATCCGCACCCATAGCGAGCGCAGTCCTGATTGTGTCCTGCGACTGCGTCGGTCCACAGCTGACCGCTATTATTTCCTGAGCTATTTTCTTCTCCTTCATTCTGACTGCTTCTTCGATAGCTATCTCATCGAAAGGGTTCATCGAATGTTTAATGCCATCTGTAACTACCCCGGACTTATCCGGCTTGACACGAATCTGTAAGAACGTGTAGAAATACGTTTTTAACTTGTTTTTAACTTGGCGATGTTGCAAGCCAGTACTTTCAGAATCTTAGTTTATTAATAGAGATGTGATTGTTGTACTTTTTAACATATTGTTAGAGAAAAAATATTGGACTTCGTAATAACGTTCTAATTTTTCTTAACAAGTAGAGATTACGTTGTTTTTCTTTACCTTCACTGCATAATCGATTACTCTCTTTACACCTACGAGCACACGCGCCATTTTTGCACAACGAAAAAATGTTATGCTAATGCTAATACTATGCAACTATTTCCGTTTAATTCCTTTTAATTAAGGCTAATAATAAATTGATAACAGTCCTTCAAAGGTGGCTCAAAGTCTAAAGTCTAAACTGTGTATTTCACTAGAAACATTGTGACCAACTTGGCTAATGAAAATACATATCTTCCTCTGTACACTAGGAATCCGAAGAGAGATGCCTGAGAATGGACACGCCCGCGTTTTGCGAAACCCGTTTGTTGGCATCTTTATGTGCGCAAAAAATATGTACGTTAAATTATGTAACCATGTTTACAAGTATTTCTAGCACGCCACGTCGTGGAGTCTTCGGTTCTGTTCCACAGCGCACTGAAATAGTTTTCTAATGTCCATTATCAATGTAGATTAATTTTAATCTCGGTTTAATCTAGTTTTAAAAATTAGAAAAAAATAAATTAAACCAAGATTAAAATTAGCTGCGTTAAGATGCTGGGAACGGGCACCTAGAGTGATTTATTTTACACACCAGCATTGAAAAAATAAAGCTCACGCTATAATAATTTTATAATGTACTTTTTTGTTAAAAAAATTTTTTTTATTTTTCCTTATTTTTTTTCAGAAAATGTTGAGCAAATCTACATATTGTTCTTAAATACTAATAAATTATAGAACAATAAAAAATATGCAATATGTAATTAATAACACTTAATTAGGGTGTAAAAGTTAGGTAATTATTTATGCAAAAAACATCAGGCGCCAGTTTTCAGGGGTTAATAAAAATGGATATAAGCAGAGAGAAACCTGAAAGAGGCCATCCCGGTCTTTTTCGTGTGTTGCTGTGTTGCATTTTCCGACGCGCCGCCTGAGAAAGTGCAACTCAACTACGTCGTATCGCTCGGTAACCGCACATGGTTTGCGTCCGTGCTAATGTCTGAACTAGCCAGCTGGAGGGGATATTATTCTGGCCGCGGCGGCCGCGCGCTCGGCCGGCCCGGGAGTTGCATCTGATTGCACCTGTTGATGATATTTTTACCTTATTTTATATTATATTTTTTTTTACCTTATTTTATATTATATTTTTTAAATATAGATAAATCGCGCAAAAATATCTGTTCCGCGTAAACAGCCACCGTCGCCTCGATATCCCTCACGTACTGACTGTTACTACGTTTATGCGAGCGTTACTTCTGTAGTAACTTACGATACGTCCGTCGCGTAAACGGGATTTTGTAGTAACTTACGATACGTTACTCCGCGTAAACGAATGATATATCGTAAGTTACTACAGAAGTAACGCTCGCGTAAACGTAGTATGAGGGAGTTACGTAATCGCCAGGCTAATGATCACTACGTGTTCGCGATATATGTATATAACACTCGCGTTTCGAGAGACAGCTACGTCGACCAGACACCACCGAGACAGAACGCAGAACGTAGAATACAGCCAGTTAAACCTGTGAAAGTTAACGAAAGATTCGGCATACGTTGTCTTTTATTGTTCGTTGAAAGTTTTCGGTATTTTTGAACCGGCCGCGGCCGCGCGCGTAGGCCGTGACGTCATGCGCCGCTCCGCGCCGCCGGCGCGGCGGATCGATACGGTGACGGTGATCAGTGATGTAGTAGGCAGTGTAGGCACCTGCGCAGTCCGTACTAGCGGCGTGACCGTTGAACTCGAAAGCTCCGTACCTCGAAGATCGGCGCGTTTTCAACGTTGTTTCTGGCGATGAGCGGACTTGTCACTTGTTTCCGTCAACGCTCGGAGTAGTGTTACCTGCGTGAGTGACTCAGTTATCATTCTTCCGAGGAATCTCGCACCGGTAGGAAGTGTTTGTGCTTCGCGCGCGCTCGTCACCGACGTCACCGTGCTTCGTGCTGTTTTCGGAACGCGCTCGTTTCGGTGATTGGCATTCCTGCTTCCTCGTTTCGCGGGCCGCGGGAATACGCGCTACGCGATCGAGTACCGCGCGCCGTGTGCCGTGTGTGTAAAACAATTTAGAGTGTATGAGGTGTTTATCGGAATGAACGTGTCGCGCGACGCGCTCACTCGAGACGTCGAGGCGGAGGTATGTATGAACGACTTGCTTTGCAGTTTCGCGCTGTGATATTCGCGAGTGACAGTCGCTCCTCCCGCCTTGTCTGGATTCGCGAAGAACGCTGACGTGCCGGACGTGTCGTGTGATTTAGCTCCGATTCTCTCCGTAGGGAAAAAGGGCTGAGAGATATTGATCGTGTCAAGTGATTCCGGTGATTCGATCGGTGATAACGGAACGCCGCGATACATCGCCCGTTCGTGAATGCTTCATAATCTCGATTTACGAGTTTGGTAACGTATTGTGCGTGCGATATTTAATTTCAACAGCGTATCTCTGATTGACGAAGTGCGTGTCTTTATTAACCGTCCGCTCGACTTGCGTAGTATCGCGCCAAGTTGCCAACATCTCGGAACATTTCGTCGCCCATTATTACGTCGCCCATTAACAACGTAACGCCGGTAACGCGGTGATGAACGCGGAACGACGCGGAGCACGCGGCGTCGCGACTCCTTCAAATTTGCATGAAAAATTCATGTTACCCGCTTTTATATTACAGAGAAAAGTACTTTTCCTTCCCACGGGTACGACCTTGGCGAGGTGGGAAGGCTCCAGTACCCAGTACGAGGATTTTACCCAAGCAAAACTCTTGTTCTGCTTGGATAAAAATTCAAAGACGGGGAAGCTAACGTACCCTCGTCCGCCGATTTAATTGAATGAACGAACCGCAGCCGGTTCGTCGCGTTTGCTTCGGGAGTGCCGTTCAAGTAATCGGACTAAAGGACTTTTCTAAACGGGAGTGCCGTACAGTATCGCGCGAGAAAGACTTTTAATGAAATTAGTCCGCGCGCGATTGTAGTTTATTATCCGCGAGTGTTTCTCGCGAGTGTCCTGTGCGGTGAGACGATGAAGCCTAAGTATCCCCTGAGAGGAGGAGGAGGCCTGGGAGAGGCATCGGGCACCGGCGGAGCAACCTTGGGGTGAGTATCATCTCTTTATATCTGCGTAAAATTAAAATAGTTCTTTTTTATTTATTCGAATTGTTTTATCTCGATAAATTAAAAATAATTAGAGAAAAAGATTATCTAAAATTTTACTCTTATAAAGATCGTTTTCGGTGAACACAGATGATTGTGTTGCTAAATATTTTATTGAAAAACAAATTAATTGCGCGTAAAAATTATATTTTGAAAAATGTTGATTATTTTGAACGCTTCTTTAATTTGAATCTTATGTTTGTATGTTACAGTATCATCGTAGCTACGTGGCTGAACAACTCCGCCCGTTGCACATCGGCGTGGTGAGTCAGAATTTTTTTTATTGAAATGACAAATCTACGATTAGTCAGATACAGAGCCATTGTATCTCGGAACATATCGACGCTTATATATATAAATTAATTAAGTCAGGGTTTTAGGAAGTCGCGTCCGCGTCGCGTATACGTCTTCCCCGGGAACGCCGCCGCCGCGGTGCCGGGTGGAAGATCCGTCATGCCACGCGCCACGTCAAATCTGCACATACACATATATACGTAGGGATATGCGATTTCAATATGCAATATTGCGACATTTTAGAATACTCTGAACATATTAACTTCCGCAAATTTGGAGATGTCTATCTATTTCTAATTTTATTATATTTTTCAGTCTTTTCTACCCCTATTTCATATGTAATTCTTTTAAATTTGGTTGATTAGACTTAGTTTTATATGCAATCAAAGTTATGGATCTTTGATCGCGTATAAAGCTGGGTCTAATCAACCAAATCTTAAAAAATTATATATGAAATAGGGGTAGAAAAGACTGAGAAATATAATAAAATTAGAAATAGATCGCTATCTTCAAATTTGCGGAAGTCAGAGTAAACACGGACATCAAATCTGCACATACACATATATGTATACGTACGGACATGCGATTTAATGCAACACTTCGACATTTTAGAA